TATCATACTTCTTTCTTTATCTTAGTTCCTTCATTTGTTCTGTCTAGATATTTCGTTTCTTAGTTACTGCATCACCTCACACCTTTGGTAGCATGGCGAGGGTTAGGGCACATGGATACTGTAATTCTGGTATCAGGCCATTGGACAAAATAAAGGTGGATACTGAGAGAAAGTGATACCCCTAATACTCAAAGAAATGGTTTGTTAATATGAAATTAATTTAGGTAAAAGATGTCATTAACATTCAACTACAAGGTTCAACTCCTTGGCTTTACTCAGCTTCAACTCCAATTGGATACTGTACTCTGGCTTCTTACAACATTACTGGTGGTACATTACGTTATACAGTTACAAGGATCAACTCCTTGGCTTTACTCATCTGCCATTACAAGTGGATACTCTTACTTCTGACAACATTACTGGTGGTACATTTCATTAACATACAGCTACAAGACAAACTTACATATGGTACCTTCACTAGAACTGTTGGTAGTACATATGGAGGATGCACTCACAACACAACACGCTATTACTGATACTAACAAATTACATGGGTTCACTACCCAACATGGGATAACTATTTCCAGTTAATTATCCCCAACCATATGCAACAAATACTGTGGACCAAATAACTTCAAGGAGTATCCCAAGGAGTGTCCCACTGGCGTCTCAACAAAATAAGATCGCTATTATGGTCGGTTGAAGTCTGACAAATGGCGAGAGTCTGGGGTCTGGTTCCCAGAACGCAGACTGGATCAGTTCAATCCTGCCGAATTGGCGACATCGTCCCATAGAGCTAACTGTTAGGTAGCCACCGACCCCGGGCAGCCGGTGGGGTGTTCAAATAACCCACACACTGTATCTGAGATAATTTGGAAGACGTCAAAGGAAGAGATGTTGATGACTCAATCACAAACAATCTTTCGTCTAGCAACGACAGACAGCATTTACGTTATAGTAATTCTTACACTGGGTAAATGACAATTTCACTGTTACAACATGAACACTGATACACAAAATTGACTAAGTTAAACTGAATGACTATATAGGCGGGGAAAACTCTCTTGCATACCTGAGATAATTTGGAAGACGTGAAAGGAAGGTCTTTCTCCCTCTCCCACAGGTTTATATACGCCGTTAGTTGCCAGAGGTGGCTACTAACGCAATGACAGAAATTATATTCAAAATGACCCTCAGTTGACACGGGTCTGGCGAATTTCTTAAGTTGATTTACATAAACTAATTCGAGATTGAACTTGCAGGAAAAAGTGGAATATACGCATTGACAACTGAGTACCCCAAATGGGCAGGACTTTTTGAGAGGAAAAAACGCGTTTCCTCCTAGGGATAACTCGCCAGTTATCCACATGTTTTGCGGGCGTGAAGTATAATATGAATCATCAGATTTAAAACAGACCAGCCGTCAATGTGACCATGACAACAGGTATCATCTCCAGTGTGGGTACTTGTGCATCCACACCAGAGCCCATTGTTGTCTCCTCTGTGATGACATGACTGTGTGCGGGGGAGTGGGTGGAGAGGGGGGTGTGTGCAAGGGTTGTGTTAGGGTGGTTTCCTGTTATCTTTGGGGGAGTGGGGAATAGACCTTTTTTTTTATCGATTTTGTTGGATGTGTGTAATGTATCGTTTTTTTGCTGTCAGGTGTGTAGGGAGAGAGGGGAGAGGTGTTCTTCCTGTTTGATACAGGGTTCCGTGTTAGGTTTGTGGGGGGGATGGGCTGCCATTTTGTTGTGGGGTATCTGTGGTGCTCGGGCAGCTTTGTGTTTGATCTGGGTGTCTGTGGTCCGGGAGGTAATGGTCGTCAGGTGAGATAGGTCAGGCTTAGGCATGGTCGAGGAGGGGCCTGGGAGTTTTGAACTGGTTTCTCTGGAGGGTGGGAGGGGCATGATTGAGGGTGAGGTAATGGTGGTCTGGTGAGATAAGTCCGGTATGGGCATGGCCGTTGTGGAGGGGCGGAGGGGGTTTATAATGGTTTCACTGGGGGGTGGGGGGCATGATGGTCTGGGGGTTGGGGATAGTGGCAGTGCAGGGTTAAGACTTTCGTAGGCCTTAGGCACCTCCAAGATATGGGGCCCCATTTGACAGCATATTCACTAATAACACAAGCTAGTACCTAATTATAAAATGGAAAAAAAGTACCTCAGTATCAATTTAATAATAACCTGTAGAAAAAGAGAAAGAAAAGTTCTCGTTTTATTTTTCGTAGGCCCCCAATATCTCGTAGGCCCTAGGCACTGTGCCTACTGTGCCTAATAGATAATCCGGCACTGGATAGTGGGGAAGGTGCGGTCGGAGATGGGGACAGTGGGGAAGGTGAGGCCGGGTCCGGTTCCGAAGGAATCATGTATGTGTATGGTCGGGAGGCCGTTGGCCTTCAGTCCTTCAATTACAAGTTTTAGGAAAAGCGACCTGTTTCCGTTGCTTAGGGTGTGTGCCAAATGTATGATGGTAGTGATTTTAGCGTCAGTGTCGGGGGAGGGTGAGGGGCGGTCAGGTTGTTGGTCCAGCATGTGCGGGTGGTGGGTCGTGGGTGTAGGGAGTGAGTGATGGGGAGGTGGTGGTTAGTGTTGTGCTGTTATCCAATCTGATTTGACATTTATTGCTGATGGCAGTGTGCGGGCCTTCACAGTTGCTGCATTAGATACAAGTAATAGAAGCTCCAAAAGTTGTTGGTAGCGAAAGTCAGAGCGGGGAAGATGACAGAGGAAGAAGCAGGAGGTTAGGAAGGGATTTGTAGTGGGAGAGATAGTGCCGTGGCTTTACACGACTGCGTTTATTTGGTTAGCGCATAGCGCATGTATTTGGTTTTTGTCTGTGTTGGTGGGTGATCCTCGGGTCACCACTCCTCGGATTGTGTCAGTTCAAGTTTAGAAGCTCCAACAACTTTCCCTGAATACGAATTCGCAACTTTTCGATTTACAACAGGTACCTACTTACTGCTAGGTGAACAGGGACCAAGGGGGCTAGGAAGAGTGTCCAAACAACTTCCGCCTTCCCGGGAATCGAACCCGTGATATCTTGCTTGCGAGGCAAGAGCGGTACCGCTTCTACCACAAGCGCACCCCCCCCCCCCATCCTCGGGTTTCGTTGAAGAAATTATATGAGTCGCTGCCGTGGACGTAGGGGTAGTGTAATTTTTTTTTATTATTATTTTTTTTATTTTTTTTACAGAATGGAACCAGATGGCATATCGATCGACTGCTCATAAGTCAACAGAATACACACCCGCAAAACTAATGCTGGGTCACGAACTGCGGCGGCCAATGAACCTCCTGACAGGAAGACCACCTGATGAAAAACTTCCTGAAGAAACCACCAGTTATGCCAAAAGCCTCCAAGAAAGGTTGACGGAAGTCCACCATCAAGTTCGAGGAGCTTTGGAGTTCTCGGGTGAAGCGATGAAGCGCAACCATGATGTCAAGGCACGCCAGGTCTGTTACAAGGACGGTGATAAGGTCTGGCTGTATAACCCTCCGCAGAAGACGGGTCAGTCACCGAAGTTGCAGAGTCCACGGGAAGTACCATACACTGTAGTGGAATGCCTTTCAGATGTTTCCTACCGGATCAGGGGAAGAAGGAAGGCTCAGCCAAAGGTAGTTCACGTCTGTGGCAGTATCATGGGCCAGGGTAGTGCACCTGGCAAGAGTCTGAGGAGCAGGCACCTACCACCGACGAGGACCAGACTAGAGATCCTGGAAGAACTCAGGACCGTACGGATCCATGGACCAGGAAGAGGAGCACTGTTCTTTCTTAGCAGAATTGGGTCTGACAGGAGAGGGGGACCACTCTAAGGATGTGACTAAGGTTACTGTGCCAAGGGAGGACTCTGAAGACATCCTAGTACGTCGGCGGCAGCAGCGGAAAAAGAGGAGACCTACTAAGTTTTAGGATTATCACGTATATGGTGAATGGGTGTGTCGGGACGACGCAAGGATTAGGGAGGGGGAAGTGTTATGCCGAGGCATAATTTCGAATTATAATTTCGTAAACTAGATGTTTTGATTGTTTTCTGTTCCATGCAGCAGTTATTTTGGCCAATTTAGTGAAAATTTAGTGTGTATATTGATGTATTAATTATGTAAGAACTTTCTGGAATGCATTGCATCATTTTTGTTATGATTTACTTCTTATTGTAAGCCTAGATCTTTCTAGAATTCTCCAGGTGTGTCTTGAGCCGACCTCCCGCGTCTGGACGTCGCTAGAATGATCTAGGAGTCTAAGGAATTACCATATACAGTATAAGCGGCAGCGAGCGGACTTGGGTGAGTCGATCGCATCTGTTCACAGTGTAAAGAATAAACCAAGAAGAACATCTGAAACAATTGTTGTGCAAGTATTGTGGCATTGTTGAGATTAATATAAAGTGAGAAGACTAAGGAATTGTACACTGGTAGTGTGCCGACTACAGTATATATTCGAAGCGAGAACTCCAGCTGTGAAGCCATTACCCTGTTAACAGTGTTGTAAAGAATTAGTGCTTATTAAAGAAGACTACAGTACACAAGTGTGTTTCCGTGACCTGGTGGAAATCTACCTGTCTGTTGTTTGTCTGTACATTGATACCAATTGTCGGAAGTTACCGGGGACTGGCAGGACAGCCAGTGGTAATTCGACAACACTTGTGAGAAGATATCTACTGCTTCTGTACATACAACCCTAGCTGATGGTAACCAGTGGTGGAAGCTGGGTAAGCGTTGAAGGACGAGTGTCGTAACACAGAGATAAAGTGCCATGTATTGCAGGTGTTTTATTATTGCCAAACCCTAAATTTGTGTTACAGATATTAGAAATTAAATTATCTTCGTAAATTAGTTACATAATCCGGTTGCACAGAAAAAACAAATATTCCAAGAAAATTATAAAATATTCAACTATACAAGGAATACAGCACTTTAAAACTGAAAAATATGCCTCACTTTGGCAATCCTGCCTGTAAGATCCACCGGCCGCCGGGCGTTGATAACAAATTACCTAATCAATGCAGTTATTGATTGACTGGAGTGCAGGACGCCACGCGCTTTCATTTGGTTGTGTTGGACCAAGACATAATGGTAAATTATAAGTTGATTTTAAGTATCACGACCTTGAATGTTTGAACAAATGGTGTCTTCTGGTTAATTTATTCGATGATGCTGAATCGCTGAACCTTGTGGCATACTGCTTAAATAAGGGTATTAAAAAAATGGACGTAAAACTATGGAAAATTCTTATCATTGAAAGTTGCCATTTACTTATTTTCATCGCATATTTTCAGCACTTGTGGTAGATGGATAAGATATGTATTAAGTAAATTCGTCCTACTTGTTCATTGATTCAGCATTACATACACAACGCAGGTATACAAACTGAATAAACAGTGCAGATATACAAACAATGATAAACTAACGCTGCTAAATATGAGAACACAAATACTTTGCTAGCCTTATATTGTACATAAATGCATTGTAATCTATAGATTCTAGGTCTCTACTTATCATTACCCCTAAATCTTTCTCATAATCGGATTTCTCTGCATCTACGATATTCATCTGATAGCATGTCCCTCTCTTCCATACTCTAGCCATTAAACAATAGATATTTCTACATTAAATTGCATCTTCCATTTTTCGGTCGGCATTGAAAATTTGATTCGGTTATTTACTTACTTTTATCCTCCTCACCACTAATCGGCTCGTTAGCCACTTGGGCGATCGGTCACGTCTCTGTTACTTGTCTTTTTCTTTTATCCTCTTCACCAAATGATCGGCTCGTTAGCCGCTTGGGTGATCGGTCACGTTTCTGTCACGCACTGTTGGCAAGTACTGGGCATGCACCGGCTCCTGAATGTACCTGCTCCAGTGTTGGTCAAGTCTGATCTTGAAAGAGCTCGCACTCGGTGAGGTCACAACACTTTTTGGTATATTGTTTCAAGAGTTCACAACTCTCACTCCGAAAAAGTTTGCCCTCACAGTCTTCTGGACTTGCGGCTTCTTCAATCTTGCTGTGACCCCTTGTGGGGCGAGCGTCCGCCAGCTCCAAGTTAGGACACTCAACTGAGTAGTGCCCCTTGAGATGCTTATACACCTCAATTAGGTCGCCCCTTGCCCGTCTGTAGTGTAAGCTAGGCAAGTTCAGGCGCTCCAATCTCTCAGGGTTGTTGAGGTGCCTAAGTGCAGGCACCAGTCTGGTGGCCTCCTTTGAACATTTTCAACCAACTGACAGCCTCAAGCATTTCTAGGGGACAAGACGGGGTGACAGTACTAAAGATGGGGAAGCACTTCACTCTTGAAGATCGTTACGAGGGACGGACCGTCTAGATATCTCAACGACCTTCTTATAAGACCAAATATTTTATCTGCCTGATTTACCTTCTTCTCGCAATGGCCTGAGAACTTCAGCGCATTGTCAACATACACACCTAGGTCCTTCTCACATTCAATCTCAAATAGAGCAGTTTCTTCATCCCGTTGGGACATATGATACGCCTCCTTGCCGTTGGTACTCCCCAGGTGCATCCTCTTACACTTCGTGACATTGAATCTCAGCAGCCATTTCTTCGAACATTCCTGGAGCCCACAGAGGTCTTTCTGCAGATCTTCACAGTCCGCTTGGTTCTTGATTTCCCGAAACAACTTGGCGTCATCGGCAAAAATTTGTATGGAGGAGTGTACAACGTCAGGCATGTCATTTATGAAACAAACAAACAACAGCAGGCCCAATACACTGCCCTGTGGTACCCCGCTTGTGACAGGTACGGATGATGATTTCGTGCCATTAATCACCACAAACTGTTTGCGGTTCTAGAAAGTCTTCTATCCACGCGAGGACATTTTCCCAAATTCCGTTCCCTTCCAGTTTGATTTTCAGCCTTTCCAGGGGTACCCTGTAAAAAACCTTGGCAAAATCAAGGTATATATTGTCGATATTACCACCCCTTTTTAGAATATGGGTCCAAATATCCAATACCTTGAGCAATTGTGCTAAGCAGGAGCGCCCCGGCATAAAACCATGTTGGCAATCCTTTACAAGGTTGTTTCGTAGTAGATGTTCCATCGTGGCATCTTTGATAATACTCTCAAGTACTTTACATATTATGCTGGTCAAGCTCACCGGTCTATAGTTGTTCGTGGAGTGCTGATCGCCCTTCTTGAAAATAGGACTCACATAAGCCACTTTCCATTTACTGGGGACCTTTTGTTCATCCAGGCATTTACAAAACAGGATCTTCAGGGGCTCGGCAAACTCGTTGCACAACTCTCTTTGCACTCTAGGATGGACCTTTAGTCTTGGCAGTTTATTTCTAATACCCTTTTCTGTGAACACAATGTGGGTCAGTGCCGTGTCAAACCGCCTGTCCTCATACGCAGGAAGGTTAATCGCATCCCCTCTTGTGAACACCGAGGAAAAGAAGCTGTTCAATGCCTCAGCTTTATCCTAGTCAGAATCTGCGTAACTACCATCTTCAAGCCTCAGGTCTGATACTCCTACTCGCGTTTTTAATTTCGACTTTGCATAGCGGTAAAACGCCTTAGGGTTTGACTTGACCTGGCTTGCAACCAGCCTCTGGAACTCCTTTTCAGCCCTTCAACATTCTATCTTTGCTTAGTTTCTGGCTCTTGCATGCATCCTTCTGTCCTGCTCATTCTTTGAACTAACTCACGTCTTGAATTTCTAGGTTTTCTTCTTAACTTTGTCGACCGCCGCATGGTTCATGTGTAGGGATCCTTTCGTATTCCTAGAGGCTCTGGGTTTGGTCTTGGGTATGTATTTATCGACCAAATGGGGTCACTATACTACTTATAATATTCAGCGTACTGTAGTGTCTGCGTTTTTGTGCCTTAATAAGTCATCCCGTTGTAGTTTCCCTTGTAATATTTGCACCTTGGCCTTGCCTTATCTTGAACTAGGTAACAGTTAAATGTGAATGACAACACTATATGGTGACTGGTGCCAACTGTTGCAAGGTGTTCCAGTTTGGCCACCATACCCTCCTCGTTTGTTATGATGAGGTCTAGTGGCTTGGGTGTTTGTTCCCCTCTGTAATGTGTCGGGTCTCTAACATGTTTGTAGAGAAAATGATCTCTCAGAGTTTCTACAAAAAGAGTAGCAGGGTTATTCAAGTCATTTGGGGTGAACGCGTTTCTCCAGTCGATGTCGCCATAGTTAAAGTCCCCCATGATAAGGAGGTGGCTAGGGTTGAGCATCGCCGCATTGTCTATTATGGCTCTTAAGTTCCTTTGATTTAGTGGGTCACAGTTTGGGGATCTGTAGATGCACCCGACAATAAGTAAGTCCCCTCCCTTTAGTTTGATTTTAGGCCACTTGGACTCTTGAAAAACATCCTCTCCCTGTATCCTTTCCTGGCTGGCTCCAAGGTCTTGCCTAGCATAAATAACCATACCCCTCTTGCAAGTTTCGTGAGAAAGCTTCGTAAATGTGCCATATCCAGCAATACTGAACTCACATTCCTCTGGGTCATTTCTCCTGTTCGTGTACAACTCCTACAATATCTGGTTGGTGTACCTTCAGTAGTGTTTCAAACTCCTCTCTCTCATCAAGGAGCGTGTCAGTATTAGTGTACATGACATTCAAGCCAGAATTTGTTCTTGGTAACGTCTCTGGTCTGAGTAGTAACCCCGCAACCCCCCCCCCATTCTCAGAAGCTGCTGCATTTGCTAAGTGCACTGTATTTTGCAGGGTGTGGTTAGAAATGTCATTGTTTACAAGGCGCTCGCCTCCTCCCGGCTGATAGGCGGAGCTGGTGCCACCTCCCGGGTGGGGGGTAGAGCGGGTGGAGGGTGCGCTGCTGTCCCCTGGCCCTGTGTCGGTACACTTGCTTCCACTACCCTCTCCCTGACTATAACCCATGTACACCCGTCCCCGTTCCTCCTCGATTCTACCCTTCTTTGCTTTAAGCCCTGCAGGAGCTTCTTGTGGTGTTCCCTCTGCATTACCGTGTGACCTGGGTGAATGAATACACCCCTAGGTGCCTCTCTCCTTGCTAATTTTTTTGTCTGCCGAATAACCTCGCATTTCTCCTCCTCACTCCCTAGTGTGATCCTGAGGGGGCGAGGCTTATCCCTATTCTTTGGCCCAGCCTCCTCACATCATGAGGGGTTGATGGCATCTTCAGAACCTCTTTACAAATATTCTTAAACTGCATCTTATCGTGTGTTATTTTACTCTCAGTTCCCTCAAGACCACCACAATTTTTTAATAATGTTTAAAAAATACTGAATCCCAGCCAACCTAGCCTATCCTAATATAACCTAATATAATCCCCCAGGTAGCGTAAGGGTGGTTAATCTTAGATGAAATAGCTCGTGTTAGCGAATCATCATTTGGTTCCCATTTTTACTATAACCTAAAATATGAATAAAACAAAGAACAACACCTTATGGTGTTTCATTCAGGAGGATCGTGGGTGGGTGTACAAAGGAGGAACACTACACTGTGATGGGATGTCCCTGGAGAGGTTGCGGGAACACCTCCGTCAGGAGTTTGGTCATCTGTCCTCACCCGCATTTGTGTACTCTTCCGCCACGCTCCACAGCAGCGTCCTCAGGTACAAGGACGCCCTCACTCCACTGGTATGTTCCCACCTGCTCCATTAACTGTTATTGATTATTTTATCCTTGAGCAATGATTAATCATCTTTTTTGTACTGTTAGTAACTAAGTTTATTTAAGTGTTGATAAGTAATTTCACCAGCCATTGTATAAGAGGGTCTATGGCCTCGTAAATCAGGAATAAGTATGATTTTTGCTGTTGTGTGACATTTTAAAAGTCATCAGGTACGGTAGTGTGTCGTTACTAGACTACCAAGGCTAATATGTGTGCGCTGTGCTAAGTTATAGACTTTCTCGTTGTTTATGAGATGATAAAGTAATTTTAAATATATTTTAATTATTTATTGTCTCCTCAGAGGTAAAAACCCAAACTTTGAAACATCCGTGTCACTTATTAGAAACATCTAGTCAACAGTCTAATGTTTACTCAGAATTTCCAAGGGATACTTAGTGAAATATATGCAAGATGTTAACTAGAAATTCATCTCTTGAACAAATTGCAGTGTATTCCCAGTTAATTTAGTAATCTAGTTTTAAGTTCTTGTCTTCAATCAAACGGCCATAAGTAAGTCAGTAAATCTTAGATATCAGGTAAGGGTAGTTAAATATTCGTCAACAGTTAATTGTTTATAATTAATAGTAGACAAGCTAGGTTTGACTGCTGCCAAGTGAGGGTGTGTAGATTAGACATAGTCGGTAATTTTGATGTTTAATATTTTGTTTGGACTATATATTTATGCAATAAGGTATGTTCTTACATCCAACGTTATGCGAAAAAAATCTTAGTATAAACCTTAAGGTGTTGGATGCCAGTCCGTCAGGGTACTCGAAGCCAAAGTTTAAATAAACCAAGTTACCCACCCGCATGCAGGTGGGTCCCGGGTGAGAAGATATTCTTGTCATCTATTCTGATTACCTGACCCAGTAGCACACTATCTTTCGGTTAGCTTCTTAAACTTCTCATGTAATCATTATTTTTATGATATTCTTATTCTTATTATAAATTTATTATTATTATTATTATTATTATTATTATTATTATTATTATTATTATTATTATTATTAACAATCCTCTTCCTCCTCTCTTTATTATTATTTATACTCTTATGATTTTCCTACCAGTATCAGTGTAAAAGCAATTAAATACTCAGGCATATGGGCTAGATATTTGCTGGGAGGGGTGGGGGGGGGGACAAGGAATACAAGAATTAAATAGAAAAGTTAAAGAAAATAGTAAAAATTGTCAATGATTATAATTATCATTCTCTCTCCCCAAGCTATTACAGGTAATTTATCAATATGGCCCATATGGCTATACAACAGTTTCAAGTAACAAATAGGTACTTGTCTCTCCACATCCAGTTTCCTGGCCGAAAGTTAGACTTGGAGAATTTCAATTTAAACCTGCCAATGGCTCTCAAGTATTGCCGTTCCTCCTGTTGCACCCTATATATTTGCTGCATGCACAATAAAATCCATTTTTTTCTCTGTTTTTCATCCTTTGGAAATCGATGAAATCATTTACTTTTATCAAGTATAGTCTGTAATGTTATATGCATCCAAATACGGAGCATTTATCAGGCATTGTCATAGACCTTCGCACCTCAACGGCCAGCTGGTAAGTGGTAACTGAGGTCCCACACCGGACCATCCCCGGGACAGGTCTCCCACAAAGCAAAACCTTGAATTCCCCAAACTAACGCAAAAATTTCCTGAGAATGAATAGTATTTCCCTAAAAAAAATATCTGTATGCATTATATTAGTTGTTTTCTTTTTAAACCTTTACTCATAAAAACTATCTCTCTCTCTCTCTCTCTGATACACGCACTAGCAGGCAGTAAATTAGTAAATTACTTATAATGGAGAACTGTACTGTCTTAGAAAAAATGGTTCAAATGAAGTCTTAAACCGTTATTATAAAAAATACATACTATTGTAATCTATATATAATTCACTAACCACTGTAAAACTTAATGGGATTGTAGTCTTTGGAATAATAAGCTTAGGTCCTTTCATCACTGTTAACCTAGTTTCTTTTTTTTTTATATATAAGAATGAAAAGAAAGTATCCCCATTGACACTTTCCGTTGAAATCAACATATTCATTTTCATAATAATCATATTTCCCGCAATTTCCCCCAAAACTACCATTTCCCTAGATTTCCTCCAAATCCACTCAAATTTCCCGATCTAGGAACTTTTCCCCCCAAAGTGGGAGCCCTGCCCCGAGACTCACGGGCTGCCGGCCAGATGACGTCCTGCACGATGGATGACGAATTTTCGACTCGAAGTGGGTTGACTGGGTATCATTAGACTTTGCTCGAAGCTACCTAAACCTGAGTTGTCTGTGCTGTATCTTTGTGTAGTAATGTTATCGGTTTGAAAATTAGAAGTAGATGTTTTCCATAGAGATTTTGCTTAATGGGGATTTTCTACGGAAATTATTATTTCAAACGGATTTTACTGTTATTTTCGTTTAATCATAGATGCTAATAATAACAATAATAATAATAATAATAATAATAATAATAATAATAATAATAATAATAATAATAATAATAATAATAATATTAATAATAAAAATAATAATAATAATAATAATAATAATAATAATAATGATAATAATAATAATAATAAAAATAATAATAAAAATAATAATAATAATAATAATAATAATAATAATAATGAATTAAAATAATGATAATAATAATAATAATAATAATAATAATAATAATAATAATAATCATAATAATAATAAATAAATAAATCAAGAGTGAGAAACGACATACATTATGTATGTTGTGTTGTCAAAAGTAAGAGAAACAATTGAGACCCTGCAATTGTGTGTAAATGAGGCAGAAAGTCAGATCAGCAACCTGGGACTTGGTCACAATTTTTGTGATGCCATATGGCAGCAGGGTCTACCATTAGACAACACATTATGTTTCCAATACCTTCCCAGGCAGTAGTATCTCCCTGATTGATAGCTACCTACTACCTACTACCTCGTGACCTAGTGTGGCTTCTCTTAGGGCATGAAGGGTGTTCTCTCGTACTCGGTCAAGGCCAATAGTAACCCCGGGGTGGTGGAGGCGCTGAGAGAGGCCGGTGTGACCCTGGCCACCACCGTCAGCGGGAACGAGGTCTTTTTGGCCCTACGAGCTGGTTTCCTCCCCCACCAGGTCATCCTCAACGGTAATGGCAAGCACAGGTAGATCAAGTCATCCTCAAGAACAAGCACAAGTAGATCAGGTCATCCCTAAGAACAAGCACACGTAGATCAGATCATCCCCAAGAACAAGCACAGGTAGATCAGGCCATCTTCATGAACAAGCACAGGTAGATCAGGTCATTCTCAAGAACAAGCACAGATAGATCAGGACATCCTCAAGAACAAGCACAGGTAGATCAGGTCATCCCCAAGAACAAGCACAGGTAGATCAGGCCATCTTCAAGAACAAGCTTAGGTGAGATCAGGTCATCCTCAAGAACAATAACAGGTAGACCAGGTCATCCTCAAGAACAAGCACAGGTAGATCAGGTCATTCTCGAGAACAAGCACTGGTAGATCAGGACATCCTCAAGAACAAGCACAGGTAGATCAGGTCATCCTCAAGAACAAGCACAGGTAGATCAGGTCATTCTCAGGAACAAGCACAGGTAGATCAGGTCATCCTCAAGAACAAACACAGGTAGATCAGGTAATTCTCAGGAACAAACACAGGTAGATCAGGTCATCCTCAAGAACAAGCACAGGTAGATCAGGTCATTCTCGAGAACAAGCACAGGTAGATCAGGTCATCTTCAAGAACAAGCACAGGTAGGTCAGGTCATCCCCAAGAACAAGCACAGGTAGATCAGGTCATCCCCAAGAGCAAGAACAGGTAGATTAGGTCATCCTCAAGAACAAGTACAGGTAGATCAGGTCATCAAGGACAAGCACAAGTAGATCAAGTAATCCCCAAGAAAAAGCACAGGTAGATCAGGCCATTCTCAAGAACAAGCACAGGTAGATCAGGTCATCTTCAAGAACAAGCACAGGAGGATCAGGTCATCTTCAAGAACAAGCACAGGTAGATCAGGTCATCTTCAAGAACAAGCATAGGTAGATTAGGACATTCTCAAGAACAAGCACAGGTAGATCAGGTCAACCCCAAGAGCAAGCACAGGTAGATTAGGTCATCCTCAAGAACAAGCACAGGTAGATCAAGTCATTCTCAAGAACAAGCACAGGTAGATCGGGCCATCTTCAAGAACAAGCACAGGTAGATCAAATCATCCTCAAGAACAAGTACAGGTAGACCAGGTCGTCCTCAAGAACAAGCACAGATAGATCGGGCCATCTTCAAGAACAAGCACAGGTAGATCAAGTCATCCCCAAGAACAAGCACAGGTAGATCAAGTCATCCCCAAGATTAGGTCATTAGGTAGGTAAAGTGTTCATGCATAGCACTTAAATCTCACCACTACCACCATCACCATTACTACCACCGTCACCACTACTACTACCTCTCACTCTTACCACCACTACCACCATCACCATTACTACCACCGTCACCACTACTACTACCTCTCACTCTTACCACCACTACCACCATCACCATTACTACCACCATCACCACTCCTACACCTCTCATTCTTATTACCACTACCACCATCACCACCACCACTACTACCTCTCACTCTTACCAACACTACCACTACTACTACTACCTCTCACTCTTACCACCACTACCACCACCACTACTACCTCTCACCCTTACCACCACTACCACCACCACTACTACCTCTCACTCTTACCACCACTCCCACCACTACTACTACTACCTCTCACTCTTACCACCACTCCCACCATCACCACTACTACTACCTCTCACTCTTGCCGCCATCACTACCACTACCACCCTTCACCACTACCACCATCGCCACTACTACCACCTCTCAGGCTTATCACCACTACCACCCTTCACCACCACTACTACCATCACCACCATTACTTTCACCACTCCCTCACAGGTGGGAAGTAGAATTGGGGGTTCGACGTGGGGTACTCCTCAACGTCGATTCGGTGTTTGATGCCCGGCAGCTGGTAAACGTGGCGCGGGAGTTGGGTGTGCGGGCGCGGGCACTGGTACGTCTTAATCCCGCCTTGGACGCCCACACACACCCGTACCTAGCCACCGCCCTCGCTGACTCCAAGTTCGGCGTGGAAGTCGACCAGGTGGAGGAGGTGAGTTAGTGATCCAGTGAGTCCTACTGTTGAGTTTTAGTATCATATTGAGGTTATTTAACCCCTTGAGTACACTGCATTAATCCCTTGAGTATGATTACCTTTTTCTTTGAATACAATGACTTAATCCCATGAGAACGATGACGCATTCCTTTAAGTACAATGACACACCCCCAATAAGTGCGATGGTTTAATCCCCTTGAGTATGATGATTTAATTCTGGTATACCATAAATAAAGGATAACAATAGTAAATATTCAGACTACCAGCGAAAAACGACGGTTATCATCACACACTCTCTCTCCCTCACCATGAACGGTTACGAGTTTGTTAACGTGGCGCGGATACGTCCGGACACGCCGACCTGCCCCAAGAAACTAAACCTCCTAGTTCTCCAGAAGTTTTTCGAAGCTAATGGGATCGTGGGGGTCACCAAGGTAGAACGTCTAAAGCTCCATGGTGACATCAAGATCACCTTCGTCGAGAAGGGCATGCCCGCACAGCTCGCGGAGATCCCAGGCATCAACGGCATTCCTTTTAAAATGTTTGCCTACATGTGGGACAACTTGAAGCTGGGTGTAATCTCCCACGCCGAAATTGCCCACATGGACAAAGCAGAGCTGAGTGAGCTCCTCAAGGAGCAGCAGCTCCAAGTTGTGAAGAAGCTGTCCGACACCACTGCCCTCATCGGACACCACTCCACCCTACCCAAGGAAGCTCAACTGGCGTGGGTAACTGTGCCAGTCAAGCCCTACTGCAGACCGAAACGGTGTTACAAATGCCAGCACTATGGACACACTGTAAACAAGTGTGAGGCGCAGGAAGACACCTGCTCCATGTGTGGCAGCCCTGGACACCGCTACACGGTCTGCCCCAACACAGAGAAAAAATGCGCTGCCTGTGGTGGCCCACACTCCTCCGCCGACCGGACCTGTCCCAGATGGAAGGAGGAATGCAGGGTAGCCAAGGCTCGTCTTGAAAAAAAACTGAGCTACAAAGAGGCCCTCCTTGCTGTACGCTCCCAAGAAAAGAAAAAACCAGCAGTAAAGAAAAACCAAGAAAAGAAAACTCAACAGAAGCCGCCCACCACACAGAACCAAGAACACCACGTGGCCCGTGGTGCTGAAGCCCACGCGGCCCGTGGTGCTGAAGCCCACGTGGTCAACCTCACCCTCTCTGACTTCTTCCACACCTATGAGGACTTAATACACGAGGAAGACGAACAAGAAGACCCAAACACAAACGAATGGACACTCCAAGAGAGCAAGAAGAGGAGGAGAGTGAGAAGAAAATCGACATCAAGCTAAGAAGACCAAGACATCCCCTCCACACAAGAAACCAAAACACAATCAAGCCGACCAAGCACTGAACATCCATTGCCCAACCCAACACGCACCTGACGCTTGACCTGACGCTAGCCTGGCCTTGTCTTGTCGCCTCCCTGCCGCGTCCAGGCGGGTTGCTGTGGCTGCCTCCATCTTATAATCCCCCACGCAAGCGGTGTTTAGCCACTGCATCTGTTCTCTCCTCCTAAAATTCACTTCAATCCTCCCTTTATTCTTCTCCTGAACCTCCTTTCCCCCTGTCACTAGTATTTTCGATCGATCGATCGACGACGGTTACCTAACAATTTTTCCCCGTCCTCTAAGGTGCTGCAGGTGTTGTGTGAGGGTGGTGATGGTGGGTGTGTGGGTGTGGAGGGCGTGCACATCCACGTAGGCTCGGCCATCACACGCCTTCAGGTATATGCCGAAATGATGCAAGCGGCTACCCACACACTCAATCAGGTGACTTTTTCACACTCGTCTTAGAGCTCAGGTTGTGTGTCCCAGAGCTCAGGTTGTATTAAAACATAAGAACATAAGAATGGAGGAAACTGCAGCGGGCCTATTGGTCCATACTAGGCAGCCCTGTCTACACCCAACCACCTATCACTAGTAAGAACATAAGAACATAAGAATGAAAGAAACTGCAGCGAACCTATTGGCCCATACTGGGCAGCCCCATTTACACCTAACCCCTGTACATGTTCTGGGTACTCAGTTCTAACTACAGTAGCGAACACAAACACCTGTAGAGTTCTTTGTAGGATCTATTTGCTGGATCTGCACAGAGATACAAACAAGACGGTACACCCTACTCTCTCTCTGGGTCAACTGACCTCTCAGGCGAAATGTGGCAAGCGATACATTCGCAGCTTCCAGATGTCGCCAGGTTCATTATCTAAGCTTGTGGTACCTGGTACAGGCATTGCCACACGCTGCTGGCTAGGCTCAATAAGTAGTATATATAAATGGCATACTTACATAATATACATACAACATACATAATATACATGCAACATACACAGTATGCATACCCCCCTCCCTATACTCTCAAAGCAAAGTCTTGAGCGGACTTTTTCGTTTGGATCCGTTCTGAGCATCGAGGGACTTGATCACTGGGGAGGATATGGGGCTCAACACTGGTGACGGGGTCATCAGAAGGCATTGTTTCAGGGCGGAGAAAACGGTGGTTCCTACACCACACACGGCCGCTGGGTAACTGCACCTGGTAGTCCCGTGACCTACGGAGACCCATGACTATGCCCACTTTGTCCCAACGTAGGGAGGTCGGGTCCTGAACACGGACTTGGGTGCCGACACTCAACTTGGGGAAAGAATGGGCATGGTCGTTGTAGCGGGCGGCGACATCATGAGCACGTTCGGCGGCTCGGCGATCACAATCCTCTGTCTTGGCCTGCCATTCCTTGGAGAAGGACTGAGGGGCGATATGATCGAGGTGTATAAATGGAAGTCAAGAATTAAACAAATGTGATATAACAAAATTACACAAACTATCCAACCAGGAACGAACTCGTAACAATGTGTTTAAATTAGACAAATTTAGATTTAAAGGCGAGATAGGTAAACGTTAGTTTAGAAATATATTGGACGAGGGGAACGAGTTACCGAACTTCATCATTAACGAACATTCTGAAGAGCTTCAAATATAGGTTGGACGGATATATGATATAGACGTAGACAGCAACACGAAAATATGACACTACAGGAAGATTTAAAAAAAAATTCAAATGGTCTGAAAAATGGCAGATAAAATTTAATGTGGACAAATGTAAAGTACTTAGTCCAGGAGATGTAAAAAAAACAGATACCAGATGAACAACGTTGTTATAGAGAAATCCGACTAAAATTGATTTAGGAATAATGATACGTAGGAATTTTAAACCCAGTAAACGATGTGTATTTGCTCGAAACACGTCTAACAAAGCACTTGGGTTCATACAAAGTAGTGTTAGTTACAAGAATATCGAGGTCATCCTAAAACTATATCTTGAGCTTGTGAGACCTCACTTCGATTATGCAGCTCGGTTCTATGTCTCTCGAAGAAGTGCAAATTTAGATGCTTTAATCGGTCTCTGTACTCAAGGTTCCTAACGCCCCGGATTAGTCTTGACATTCTCCTCTGAATTCTTTTTATGGATTCTATATCCATTCTGTAATACGGTGACCAGAATTGAACCGAGTAATCCAAGTAAGGTCTCACAAGCGCAAGATATAGTTTTACGATAACCTCGCTAGTCTTGTAACTAACACTCCTTTGTGTGAACCCAAGTACTTCGTTAGCCTTGTTTCGAGCAAATACTCAAAGTTGTTTTGTTTCAAGATTCCTATTTATCATTACTCCAAATTCTTCCTCACAGTCAGATTTCTCTACAACAACGTTATTCATCCGATATCCGTTTCTTGCTTTCATCTCCTCGACTAAGTATGTAAAGGCCAAATAGGATCTTTGAAGGTAGACCAATCTATTCGGAGGTTCTAAAGTAAAAAGTGTCCATCAAAAATATAAATTTATTTATAATAATTTACACACAAAATAGAAAACGGTAATGTTAAAATTAAGTTACCAGGGAGTATAATGATCTGCCGACACCTGAACATCAGGTACAATAAAACAGCTCTGCCGACGAGTCTGTCAGTAGTGGTGTATGAAGACGTGAGATCGACCGGTGTACAGAGGAGTTCCAGCTCCCCCGAACAGCATAAACAAGGGATAGGGCTAGACTCAAGTCGCCCCTGAACTGGGATCCGGTCAACTCTGGTCTGCTGGCTACTGCGAGTCCCCACGACTGGACAAGTTAGGTGATATATGTCCCCAAGAGGACAAGAAATGTCGAACACTGCGGATAACGTCTTTCACGTCCAGCCCTTGACGTAGGTAGAGTCCTCTGAAATAACATATAATATTTCGCTACAATTTATACAATATTAATAATACCCGACTAATTGAACATAATAATGTACCTTAAACCAACAAAACAATAAATAATTACAACAGAACATAAAAGACAAATCAACAATATACGCGAAGGGTTTTCTTACCGACGCGCTCTGGCAGAGGGAAGGATGTCCTGTGACTACTCCACTGATCCTTCCAGTTCTCATCACCTCTGTTCCGAGTTGAGTAACCCAACACTTTGACAAGACACAAGTAAACAACCCCAAGCAACATCATCACCAATTTTCCCTATAGTTTACTGCTTTGGAGGGATGACACTTCGACTCCCTGAACCCTGATTGGCTTAATCATTCTCTGAACGCTAGCCGTACTACAGGTGTAGTCGGACGTGTCAGCCTTGTACTTTGCGAGAACACTGTTGATTTTCACTGGCTGCCTAAGCATTGCACCATGCCTGGGGAGAGTGGTGGACAGAAACCTATGAAGGCTTTGGCTAGAGAAGAAGAGATTGCCCTACTGAACAGCTTAGAAGACGACCTGCGGCTTTCAAGTAGCGAATCGGAAGCAGACGATCCGCGGCCAACAACAAAAAAGGTGACAGACAGTTTTCAAGAGGTGACTAGTAAGAAAGAAAAGAAGAGGAGGCGAGAGTCGGCGAAGGAAAGTGAAGGAAGTGATAGTGATGAGATCATGAATGATAGGAAGAAAAGGACGACACACACAGAAGAAAGCAGAAAGAATTCAACCGGGAAAAGAACACAGCAGGTCTTGACTGAATCCAACACCCTTCAAGAGTCAGACCCCAGTGATTATGACAGTGACGGTAATGTTTTTATGGGAAACACTAGCCGGAGTGTAATCACCAATGCCACGGACCCTATCACCCTGCCCTCTGCCAAACAAACAAGTAAGCTAAATCTACACTTTCCCAAGGACTCATTGAAATCCACCGATGAACTGTTTAATTGGATGATGAAGTACTGCAGACAGCACGGTCCCAACATTCAAATCCGACAAGGTAAGAACCAGAACCTGATCAAATGTTAGACTCCTGAAGTCTATGAAACCCTTAGTACTGTTGGCTTCGGTGGGATTTTCCTGGTGCCCCCCTCCAGTAGACGCTGATGAATGTTGTCACATCCTAGTGAAACGATTCCCCCTATACGCTGACATCGAAGATGCACGTGGCTTTAATTCTAATATACTCAGTATACATCAACATTACCAGGGAAACACTCCACAACCTGCTGCTATTGTCAAGTGGAAAGGAAGCGTATGCCCAACCACTGTGGAAGCCCATCCAAACCTTCCACCACTTTATGCAGAACCCTATCATCCTGGGCCTGCATTTTGTGTTATCTGCTTTCATTGGGGTCACACCTTCACTGCCTACTGCCGAAGTGATCGTCCCAGATGTCGCTTCTGTTCACGTAACCACAACTCCATCACCTGTGCCCAGAAAATCAAAGACCACCTTAATAAGGGTGGTGTGGGATATGTAGTTGATCCCAGGTGCTGTAACTGTGGCGGCCGGCACAATGCTGACTCACGTCAAGTGCCCCAGTCGCCCGTCTGTCCCAGGGGAGAGGCCTCCCCGAGGGCCGTGTCTACCACAACGCCCCCCCTACCAGTCTACTGGGACACCTGCCCCTGCCTGGTTTCACTAGGTTGCACCACAACAGCACCTACTGTTCCCTAACTCAACCACTACTGAGCCTCCTCCCTGTCTCTACTCTGACGCTGTCAAGCCTCATGCCCCCTCCAGTGCTCCCCCCCACAACCCCCCTCCAGTGACATGACACAGATCATGTCCCTCTCCCAAGAATTTACCAGTCATGTTGAGAAACTCTTCGTTACACTCTGTACCGCCATCTCCGACCTACACCGCCAACTCTTGCCCTTTGCTGCCACCCAATCACTCCCTTCTTCTGGTTTTTAAGCTAGTCCCCCTGTGACCCCCTGCCTGTGTCTACTGCTGACTCCGAGCCAAGCCCTGCCTCATCTTCACGTCACGTGGTGCCTCAAACTGTCTACCCACCGCAAGCCACGCCCGCTCCTGTGTCTGTGCTGTCTCCACCAGGGCTATCTATTGGACCTGAGGACTCCACCCCCGGCTACCCATACTCCACCGACATGCCGGCACCTAAGGCCCATCTCTACACATGTACCCAACCGGCCCGCCTGTAATCAGTCTAATACACCACAATGGATAGCAATGCTACAGGACTGCACTCACCTAGAACATAAACGGCTTGCAAAACAAGTTTGGTGCCCTCAAAACCTACGCCTACACTGAAGATGTCGACGTGCTGTGCCTCCAAGAAACGCAGTGTGCTGCTGGTACCTATGTGCTCAGTGGCTACACATGTGTTGAGAGCCCATCCACCCCTGTTCTTCGCATCGATGGACTAACACGAGGTCATGCACGTGGACTGCGGATCTACGTCAAGAAGGATGTCCCCTTTCCAACCTCTCGACGACCCCTTGATTACGACACCGACGCACACGCCATCACAATCACATTAAAAGGTATGTTCCTCAATAT